CGGCGGCAGCGGCGGCAGCCCCTAATATAAATGTCCAAGATTGTCCAAGCAAGCATGGATATTCTTGTCTACAGCTAAGGGCTACGGATAGTTGCTGTTGCAACTTGGCACTTTCACTTTACCTTGCAGGCAGCTACAACTCTGAGCTCAGAATGTATCACATCCTCTGTTGGCTTAAAGGCGTACTGGGCATCGGCGGGCAAACCGCAAAATTGCGAGAAAATCGCTCGGGCAAAAGCTAGCGGCTAGTGCGGCACTAGCGCCAAAACCCCCCGCAATACTTGAGTCGTATCCACGAGGAGGCTTTTCTCATCTCGAACTGCAAGCAAATGAACGTTCGAAGCTTTTAAAGGCTGCACAGCAAGGCACCTTCAGCTTCAACCTTTTTGAAACTCTAGTGCAAATTCATAAGCAGATACAATCATAACCTTGTGATTTAATTTTCTAGCGCATAACTATCGCGAATCTAACGCCAACCTGTGGATTTACACGATCCTCGTGGGGGCCCCGCCTGCTTACCGAAGACTAGACACGGTGCCCTCGAAAGAATCATGGTCACCTCTGTCTTCATTCCCTAATCGCTCTTTTTGACATCCTCCCAAGTACCACAAAAAAGGAGGCTAAGGCGTCACCCTGCGTACGGACTGAATGTGATGGCACTTCCTGCTTATGTTCTGGCAGCGGTGTTTACTTTGAGAATTGCCACAGTTAGCAGTAAAAACAACAGTGTATACTATTCGGAGTATCAAGATTGACGATGCAAACAGTAACTGTGTAGTGGCGATGGCGCGAAGCGTTGCTATTGTAGTCGTAATGGTGATCATCATGCAATAGTCATAGCTGATACTGATCGTTATGACCCTAATTTCAAGCAATAGTGATAACATGGGAATGTACACGAAGCAAAGAAAGCATCTTTCGAAGCAACAATTCTACTAGTTGTGAGCATCGAAAAGCTACTGTAGAGGCAGGAAGAAGTATCAGCAGAGACTGAGAACGGAAGGCAGAAAGCAGCAGGAAAAGGCAGAAAACAGAGTCTCCAGTCTCCAGTCAACAGCAGAAGGTCAGAAGCAAAAACAGAAGTCAAAAACAATCCTTTAAGATACCTACTCATACAGATCCGAAACCTTATTGTGCGATGCAGGCTCTCAAATCCTGGAAGCTGATCACTTCCTTCTTCTGCTTGAGATCCCAGACCTGCGTGTCCACCAGTGCGTGTAAGAATTGAAGCGGACCTCTTCCCAAAGCCATGTATGCGTCATGTGCTCTCAGGTTTCCACCACTGTCGTCCCTGTGTTTGAGCAAGAGCAGAGGATGTGCCTCAGGAGCTGCTTGGAAGAAGAGGATGAGAACCGGACAGAGTGGCTTAGCTGGAGGCGGTACGACCCTATTCCAGGCACAGCAAAGTACCTGCCCAAAGGGAGAGAGAGACAGAGAGAAAGAGCCACTCTATTGAAACAGGAAGGGCCTCTGAGCCTTGGTGCTTGTTGGATGTGGAGGGCTCGAAAATGGTGGGCGCTGAGGGGTTCTCGACGTTCACAATCTTCACCTGAGTGTGGACGGCACAGAAAGCACTATGAATCGATGATGGCGCGGCTAGCGCTCGGTGAAATACGCCCCCCAAGGCACTCACTTGCTATCTATCTATCCATTTCTTATTCCTCCTCCTCTTCCCATTTCTCACACTCTTTCTTTCTTTCTTTCTTTCTTTCATGAGGGCTCTGGGGGAACCTGAAGTCCCCCCCGGCATCAATGCACAGCCCATGTGGGCTCGTGTGAAAACCTCATGGCCACTCTTCCTATCCTATTCTAAACCTTATCGGTATTCTTTATTGGTTATCGTTTTACAGGGGAACTGTCTAATACTTCTGGAATTGTAAACCTTATCGTTTT